AGGACCCTCCTCCTCAAGCCTCGCCCTTGATAAACTCGCCTCATTGATGCATTTTAAAGAGTCGATTTTGTTAGTTTCGAAACGCGTAACTTATGTACTTTTCTGTTATGTTTGTTCCGGTCTATTATTTCTTCGTTGGTTAATGATTATTACTTAATAAGTTTTTTATTTCAATCAGTTTCATTTAAGCACATGTACCAGATATTACATTTCATATTTCATCGCTATAAGTTGCTGTCGACATCACCAACTTTGTCTGCTATTCACGTACGATCCACTATCGGCGATTTATCTACAATCATTAGGAGCTAGACCAAAGTAAGTTTTTCTTTATTTCACATTTAAGATATTTCCCTTTTTCCTTTGATACGTAAATCGATTTATTTTTCGCTTTCAGTTCACTTTATAATCGCTTCATTGTTAATTAGGCTAGTGTTACATTTCTCAGGGATATTTTCTTAGTTTAGTTTCTGCTGCATTTTCTTTTAGTTCGAACCACACAAATTCAGCTTCAACGTTACCATCAATCATAACTACGCTATCTTCAATCTTTACTTCGCCCTATTCATCTGCGATTTCACACCGATCTCCTTATTCCGTTCGTACTTTTGATTACGTACTTCATTTGATTAAACCGTGATATATATTGTGCGTTCGGATTGTCTTCTCCGTTACACTAGTAACCTTCGAAGGTTACAGATTTATCATAATCCCCCATTATTTACTGAGTCTATGCTAGAGGAAGGGCAAAAAAACAATTCCTGCGTCAAACTTAAAGAAAAAGCTCTTCCGAGACTCACCATTTTCTTCCTATTAAAAAGCCTGTGATAGATGATCTGCATGAAAACATCACAAACTTAGAGAAGAAACTTTGAAGGATCGTGACGCGTCAAACTAAAGTAAGTAAATTGTGCTTTGCCCTTACTTAAATCTCTCTTCTCCTGAAAGAATTAAAATACTTATACGGATTTATATGCAAAAGCTAACGGACTTTGGGGTGGTTTCGCTGTTATGCGTTTAAAAACATCAAAGCGTAAATTCACAAAGTTCTAGACGTCTAGGTGGACGAAATCTTGCTGATCACTGAGTTCTGGATAAGAAGCTAAGTCGACAAATGTGGCTGGCTTGGGGGAACTCGAGGTCCTCTTGGGTGAGTGATGCTCTAATGTAAATCAAATGGAGGTCAATAAGTGACCACCTACAAAACATGTTTTGACTAAAAACACACCTAAGGTCGGTCAGTTCGTCCAGTGAAAAACTCAGGTGATGAATCAAACCCGCTACGGATGAGACTATTGTGAGTAAGGTACAAAAATGGTTGAAGCATTAACACAATCATACTATTTTCATGTTGTTATGCTTACGACAGAAAAACTATCTCGATAAGATCACGTAAAGGTCGGGGTCTTAGGTGGGTCAGTAACGAATGTGTTGAAATCAGTGCTTTTGGGGTATATTTAGTTTTAACCTATAAAAGATTAAGAGGAAGTTCCTCATGGAGTTACATATCAGTCTTACTTCCACTTTTCATTAGTTTGATATTAGCTGTTTATCGAAGTTTGCGAAAATCCAGGACAGTTAAAAATACATTTGCACTTTTTATGATTTCGGTTCTTTACGCATGGAGTACTCCTTCGCCCCATCACACTCGAGAGAGCAGCTTCGAAAAGCTTTAAAATGCACTTTTAACCTAAAAAAGATGTAGAGGAAGTTTCTGACGAAGTTACAGATCAGCCTTGCTTCCACTTTTCATGAGTTTGATATTAGCTGTTTATCGAAGTTTGTGAAAATTCAGAAAAGATATTTTCATTTGTTATGGTTTCGGTTCTTTGCATGGAGTACTCATTCGTCCCATCACGCTCGAGAGAGCTTCTCGAAAAGCTTTAAAATGCGTCATGGTGATGGAAAAATGACTCTCCAAAATTTGATCAACTCTAGCGGGCGAAATTCGCTGAAATTTGGCGTGCTACATGTCCTGTCCTACACATCATGCTCCCGGAATCCCGGCGTTTCATTTTTTTTCTTTTTTCTCATAGTCTGTCAGGAGTGGAAACATTTTGCCATAAGGACTCTCAACTTTAGAAGTCAATTAAGTTTTGACTTCTGCGCAGGACCCATTGTCAGGGATTGAGCAGGCATAAATTACTCGCTACGACTAAATGCCCGGCAGCCGGGCATGGTCTCAATTAGACTAAATGGCCCGCAGTCAGAAATTTTGACAGAATTTCCACCGAAACGTTCTTTCAAACTTCTTAAGAAT